ATTTCATGCCTTCTTGGGACTATCTTTGAGAAAGACCCGTGCCCGTTTGATCCCCTCAGTGTTAACATAGTTTAGCCATCGATTCTTCAGCCATGTGTGGCCATCGATTCTTCAGGGTCTACTGAAGTGCTTCACCTGGCCTTCTGGCAACCAGGGGATTCACTCCGAGGGACATAGTTTATCAGCGTCTGCTGTCAATCGTGGTTATTTTCAGTTTCTTGGAACTCAGTTTAGTAGGGGGAAAAAAATCTCCTCCATCTGTCATTATCTTTCTTCTCCCTATTTCTGTCAAGAAATGTAATCTCTAACCATTTAGCAGCAGCTGGAAGAAAAAAGGAGGATGAAAATGCAAATTAACAAAAGCACGGTTCAAAGTATAATAAGTAGAAGAAGAATGTAATGTAATTGAGATGACAAGGTAGAACTAAATTTGGCCTGTGTATACTTCTGAGAAGATGCACTTTCAGAAGTTGGCACCACAACCCAACGTAAACCAATGTTTCCTTCATTTTGATTTGTGGAAATAAATTATACGTAGGATTCTGTAGGAGAAGGAGCAGCAAAACCTGGGGGTGGAGTTAAAAGAGGAATCAACTTAGAATCCCTACATAGCCACAAATAAACTAAGTACAACCTTGCTATTTAAATATAGTTCTGAATGAACAACCAATCACACAACCAACTGACCACACTGGCACATATCTAACTCTAACCAAGGGCTGCCTGATAGTTGAGAATATTATAAGCTTTTAGAAATAAAACAGTTTAATTGGACCTTCACATGTGGATCTCCTGGTCTTTCAAGGCTTTCACTGAGAGAAATGATCCATCAAATTTAGGTATAAAATTGAAAACAGGCTGAAAATGCTTAAACTTGACCTCCGCCCCCCCAAAAATAGCTAAAAAGAGACTCATAGTGACTTTAAAAAAATCCAAGGCACATATTTTTTTTCAAATCTGTTGAATGCCCTTCTTTGCCAGCAGATGGCGCTGCTGTATCTTTCTGCCCTCTGGTGGGACTCAATCCTAGTTTAACTTTGGCTTGTGTGGAAGGATCCCCTCCCCTGCCAGCCCCTTCTTAAGGTTTACTCCTGCAGGGGCGGGGGGGGGGGATATGGTGATTTTGCTACCAACGTATTTGATTTTCTCTTGTAAAAGACATTTTTAAGCCTATGGTGTAGCGTAGCTCAGCTGAAAAGTTTTTGTGCCAAGGACCTGCCGATCAACATCCATAAATCAGGCCCAGATAATTTCTCCTCCTCCACTCTGGAAGGTATTTAAGCAACCGATCAAGATTTTCAAGCAACTATTTATATGTGAGTCGTTTAGCTAGGCTGACTTCTGTTTTATTTGGAAATATCAATTAATCAAATAATTTATTTATTGTTTTGGACACCAGTGGTAAAGAATAAGATACAACTTGCACAAGGCTGATCGAACATCAATAAAATGCATTACGAATGGGGGAAAAAATCATTAAAAATGTTACAACAGTGTTACTACATCAAATAAAATACCAGTATTAGAAAAAAGATAACATAAGAAACTGACAAAAGGTTGTCTCTGTTTAAGCAGCAGACTTGGGGGAAGCTTGCTAATTTCCACCGCAGCATCTTCTTGTCTCAATTCATTCAAAATTCAATTTTGCGTGAATGAGGCCAAAATGATTTTCTCCCTAAGAGGGGCTGTAGAAATTTTCCACATGCTGAAATGGAAATAGGCCAATAATTGGGGAAATAAATATTAGTGATTTATTTGGAATTATGCACCTAACGGGCAACATCCTGACATTTGTCCTCTGTTCCCCTTGCTATGCAGATTGCCTTTCTTTGCATGAAAACCAGCCCTGCATGGAAGACCAGGAAACGGGAGATTGACCTCTGTTCCTGAAATGGCACAAGGCTGAACTTCTGCATCCCCGACCTACGGGAGAAAATCCCCAAATCCCTGGGTTTTTAGTTGTCGGCTCTGCCATCACATTGCTTGAGCCCTGATTTGCTTTGAAGGCATCTTTCCATAAAAAAGTGGGGGAGGGAAGTAAGGGGAAATAGGGAGGGCGGAATGAGAGGAGGACAGGATGGAAGGCTGAGTCAACCTTGGCCAGTCTAGAGAAGAGAAGGACTAGAGGCAGGGGTGGGATTCAGCTGGTTCGGCCCGGTTCCGGCGAATTGGTTGTTAAATTTACATCTGGTTCACTGAACTGGTAGTTGAACCGACCGGCTAGTCCTGCCCACCCTTTCCTCCCAGGAGTCTCCACACGGCCCATTTTGGGTGCAGGTAAATTCAGGGTCCACGCGGAGGCCCTGGGAGGGGGAAAAACAGGACGAACCGGAAACAGGCCTGTTTTCCGGCTTCCAGAGGCTCTCCAGAGCCCAGCGGAGGCTGTTTTCGCCCTCCCAGATGCCTGAGGGAAGCCTCCGGATTCTGCGAAAGGCGAAAAACGGCCAAACCAAAGGTTCCAGTAGGCCACGCCCACCATGTCCACACCCATCCAGCAACCAGGCAGAGAAGCGGTTGCTGCGATTTTTGAATCCCACCCCTGACTAGAGGGGACATGATAGCAGTATTCAAATATTTAATAGGCTGGTACAAAGAAGAGGGGGTCAACTTATTTGCCAAAGGCAGGACAAGAAGCAACAGATGGAAATCTCAAATTATATAGGGCCTCCTGCTTGAGCAGGGGGCTGGACTAGAAGACCTCCAAGGTCCCTTCCAGCTCTATTCTGGTTGACTTCTCTTTGAGACATGCATCTTCAACACATTGAAGGTTTGATGACTCTTCTTCCTGGAGCTCCGGTGTTTAAAAGCATGAAAACTCCAACTTCAGTCAGCACTTTCGCCTCATGCGTTTCCTTTTATATTCAATAGATGTAATTTTATGGTTGGAAATTAGATAAATCATTGTTATAGACCGGGAGGAACACCAACGTTCCTTCATCACCAGGCCTGTTGTTCTCGTGCATCAGCCAGATCCTATTCAACAGCTTATTCACTTAATTCTGATATCACTTAGTCACATTGGTGTAAAGAAATCTTCCATTGAAAAGCCAAGCAAAACAAAATAATAAGGATGAATTGAACCGAGGAATGACTCGGCAATTATCCTATGCAAGTGTTGATTTGATCTGATCTCCCAAAACTGCTAGCAATAGTTTTCAGCAGTGATTTGCAACCTCAACAACTTTAAGAGGGGTGAACTTCAACTCCCAGAATTCCCCAGAAGCCTGGGGAATTCTGGGAGTTGAAGTTCACCCCTCTTAAAGTATGTTGAGACTGAGACAGGTGCCTTATAATACTTTTTATGGAACATACCAAACCTGCGGAGATAAAGATATGCTTCCTACTCTTTCCAACATTTAATACAGGAAGCTTTTAGCTCCAATATTCCCAGTTCAATCAAGCCCAACTCCTTTTAGCTTTTAAATTCTGAATATTGTTGAGCTGAGCAGGTTTACGAAACCTGGGAAACTGTGAGGAAGAAAATCTCAGGAGAAGACACTTTAGGATAGTTGCCAAGAAAACTTCACAAAGATATCCACGAAGTCATCAGGTGTGAAATTGATCTTGAAAAAGTCTTTCTTTTCTTTTTTATCCCTCCACATTTCATGAAGAGGAACAAGGGAAGCTTGTGGTCGTACAAGAAAGCATTTCCCCATAGGGTATCATTTCATTTTGGCATTGTGAACATGAGACGGAAAAGGTGGCCTTAATTTTAGGGCAACTCCTGCTGACTGCTCAGCTTTTCTTGGTGAGGACATGTTAGGTCACCTTGTTCTCTGTCAATACTCCAAAGGCTACACATAACATATTCTTAGGAACGTAAAATGTGTTTTGGCTTACAGGAGGAAAAAGAGACATTTCAGGCAGTTTAGCAGTCAATGGGAAAAAGATGTGAAGACTTCAATGAGCCACAAACATTGGCGTACCTCCTCTCTCCCCTCCTCCTCCTCTCTCCCCTCTTCCTCATCTCTCTCCCCTCCTCCTCCTCCTCCTCTTCCTCCTCTCTCCCCTCTTCCTCCTCTCTCTACCCTCTTTCTACCCTCCTCCTCCTCTCTACCCTCCTCCTCCCCTCTTCTCTTTCTTTCCTCCTCTCTCCCCTTCTCCTCCTCCTCCCTGCAAATTTCTCCCTTCTAGCACTGATGATGTTACCTAGTTGGGTAATGAAACACCTCCAAGAAAACAACCAAGCTCAGAGAGCACCAAGGACCCCACGCCTTTTAGAAGTGTGTCCTGAATGCATCACCCATAAAAGGTGCAGGACTTAATTCTCTTACCGCCTACCACCTTTTCTGACACTCTTCACAATCCTGAGAAGTAACACAATCACCGTGGCAGCCAGGTATGTTTCCCACAACCCTTGTTTTCAAACGAGGTTGAAATTTGGTCTCTCCTAAAATGAGGGCTCCGGGTTAAGTTTGTAGTTTAAGGATTTACAAGATGAAATGTGCAGCTGGCTCGCTCTGAAATGAGATTGGAGAGTGAACTTGCCTAGCAAAATCCATTCCATTGATTGAGCAGTCAAGAAAAGATCAGTAGGGATGGCCTTCAGGAAGGGAATACTTGTTTATTACTAAAGGATGGTTAAAATGTTATAAACACAAAACATTCCAGCTGCAAGGTTTTATTTTTGGGAAAGAAGGTAGCTTATTTTCATTATCAGTTTTCTACATTCTTTGGACAAAATATATTTTAGCCCAAAGTGCTTGAATCAATTCTAAATGTCAAAGAATTGTTTGTTTGTTTGAAATGCAATATGTTCGAGAACATAACAAAGTAATTACTTGGAGTCCTTTAAAAATTGAAAGTCAGTTATCTTTGTGTTCAGTTAAGGGCTTAAAAATGGCTAAGTTGACGAACACTTCAGATCACGTTTTTATATCTAAGATTAGCAAAGGCAAAAATAAATTAATGAAATCTGTTAAAGACAAACATTTTTTCCATATGATCTGCAGGAGCCCAACTCAATTCAATGGGACTAACTTGATTCCCCCCTCCCCAAGGGATAAACAGAATAACAGAGTTGGAAGGGACCTTGGAGGTCTTCTAGTCCAGCCTCTATCTGAAGCAAGAAACCCTAAACCATTTTGAAAATTATGCAGGTGCATCTGAGTTTCCATAAATGTTCATCAGATGAAGTCAAACCAAATAAACTGCACCACTATGCTATTTGTGGTATGAAGATTTGACTTCTTCTTGTGCCGTATCCATTATTGGACTTTGGCGATTCTATTTTGATCAACAGCCGCATGAAAAAGTGCCGTTGAGTTTTGTCCAAACCAGTCCCTTAGAAGTTGAAGCCATGATGTTTTTCTTCTGCCTGGATCTCATTTGCCGTCAATCTTTTCCTGGAGGATGAAGCGAAGGATGCTGTATTTTTCCAGGTGTTGCAAAATTTATTTTTGCCTTTGCTAATCTTAGATATAAAAATGCGATCTGAAGTGTTTGTCAACTTAGCCATTTTTAAGCCCTTAACATGTCCGAAGATTTGGTGCTCTCTGCCAATTCTAACTCCCATCTCTATTTCTCTGGAGCAGCTCTTTGAGTACAAAGAAAGGAATATAAAACACTCGTGGAATTCGTTTTGATGTAATTGCATTGAGTTGTTTTGAACCCAGCAAAAAAAAAATTGCTTTGCCCTCTGAGCTGCCTGTGATCCGTTATATGTAACAAACAGAGCTAATGAATCCTGTGGCTTGTAGCATTCAGCTTTCATCTTTCCTTTTTAATAAGCCTCAGAGTGCAATGTCGAACATTGCATTGGAGTATCACCAGATATGATTCCTTGCATCAAGCAATTAAAAAAAAAACATTATGCACCAGTTTGTGTAATTGTGGCCATTTTCCACACAGCAGGGGTATAGCGCAATCTTTGTTTCACAGTTAAAATATATGCCGTGTCAATTAATTTCGATTAAAGATATCCAAAATATCGTTTAGAGCTTTAGTTTCTTCTGGTTTTAATGAGGGCAGATATTTCTTCAGCCCCTGCAAACAACTCTATTAAATGCCAAGCAAATAATTCTTCCAGAGATGTTTTTAATGTTTTAAATGTTTTTAATGTTTGAAAACAGAAAATTGACATCTTCTAGGAAAGCTGTTGAAGAAAATGCTCTAACTGTGTTCACAGCTACATGGTTGGTTCTAGGGATGGTGAAGCATATAACACAATGGTGTGTGGTCAAATTAAAGCCACATACTAATGTAGTTTCCACTGGGCCACAAGCAACTAGTCCTTACACCAACAGCTTACACACTTCTAGGTCAACCTTCAAGAACCTGATGTTTTATCCTGTCTCTGATATTCTCATCTCATCCATCATGGCTGGCAACAAGCAACCAGAGATAGTTTAAAGATTATGGTCATCATTATAGACTATGAATATGCAGGTCCTCCCATGTGCTCTATTAGATTATATATGTTGACTTCCCTAAACATTTTTAAACAAGAAGAGGCCTGAGGCAAAGCAGTGGAGGGTAGCCATAGCTGCAGAGCCACTGATGGATTTATGTTGATATTAGTGTAAATAGTTCCATGGGGGGAAATAATAGGAAAGTTATGGAGAGTGAATGTCCTTTTCCAAAATCTCCAGGGAAAAAGAAGTTTCAATGTTCAGTAGTGCAGAAGTTTAACTAGTGTAATAAAAGGAGTGGCAGAACTTGGAGGCGAAGTCAAATAAGTTATCAGCCTAGAATTGTTACGTTCCCACAAATGGTTCAAGTCTTAAATTATGTTGGCTGTTACCTAATGCCAATTTAGTGCTGACCATTAGTTGACTAAATTCTCATGAATAAGCATGTTCAATAAATCATTTTAACTGGAATTGGTCCTAATGCTGCTTGCCTGACAACTAGACTTGGAAAAACCAGGCAATGTAAATACAAAATAGGTTTGGGATTGCGGGCTAATAGAATATCCTGTTCTACTGACTGCCAAGTGACTATTCTTGTGAAATCAATTGAAAAAACAATTAGTAAAGATTTCTTTAAGTGGCCCAGGTTAATTGCCATCATTTGTGTAAATTAGTTGAAGGCCAATGGTTGATAACTGACAAAGGCATTCTGCTTCATATTCCTCTGACAACAATAGAGATAAAGACATGAGCTTTTGAAGACCCACACAGGGGTTTTCCCTGTTCAAGAAGGATAAAATGTGTCCTTGAACAATTGGAGCTGTTGTTAGACCTGTAAGGTGTTTATTGTTTATCTGAGTTAATACTTCCTTGACTGGGGGCATGTTTATTTCTTGATTGTTGGTCTAGTATTAATCTTGGTGTTAATTAGGTTGTAAACAACAAGCACATTCCCACCAACACTCAAAGGGCAAGCCATTAGTATATAAACAGAGAGCAAACCCTCCTCCCTTCCAGCACTGAATCTATTCCCTAGTTGGGTGATGAAACGTCTGCAAGAAAACGGCCCAGCTCGGAGACCACCAAGGACCCCAAAATCCTCATCATCTTCCTCCTCCTCCACTCCACAAAGCCTCCTCCCTTCCAGCACTGAAGCTGTTCCCTAATTGGGTCATGAAACGTCTTCAAGAAAACCAGCATGCTCAGAGGGTACCATGGGACCCCCAGTCCTCCTCCTCTTCTTCTTCCTCCTCCACCTCTACTCCACAACCCCACTCCCTTCTAGCACTGAAGCTGTTACCTAGTTTGGTGATGAAACATCTGCAAGGAAACAGCCCAGCTCTGAGGGCACCAAAAAACCCCAAATCCTCCTCATCTTCCTCCTCCTCCTCCACTCCACAAATCCCCCTCCCTTCTAGCACTGATGATGCTACCTAGTTGGGTCATGAAATGCCTGCAAGAAAACCAGCAAGCTCAGAGAGTACCAAGGAACCCCCAGTCCTCCTCCTCCTCTTCTTCTTCCTCTTCCTCCTCCACTCCACAAAGCCTCCTCCCTTCCAGCACTGAAGCTGTTACCTCGTTGGGTCACAAAACATCTCCAAAAAAATGGCCCAGCTCAGAGAGCACCGAGGAGCCCACAATCCATCCCTGACCTACAATGATTCTCTTCCACTGGCATCAGCTCCGTGTCTTCAAGGATCTCAAGAAGATGCGAGTCCTGCTGAACTCCGTGGGCCCATTGTCTCAACATCCGGGAGCGAGGCCTATACCCATCAGCCAGGACAGCCTGCAGCTTCACAAATACTCCCCCAAGTTGATTACAGAGCTGTCAGTCAGTCACGAATTGCCAGCCGCAAGTAGATATATGAAAGTCATTTCCTATTGTGTCGACCCATGATTTGTTATGGACTATAAAAATGGCAATTGGATTATCAAAAAGGAAAAGCAATCAAATATCTCTGGGATAGGTAGGAACATATCTTCCTAATATAGACAACCCATTTCCTTTCCTATTTTTACTCGGCTGCCAAGAAAACAAATTATGCCAATGTATTTCAACGAGCCTTCTCCCCGACGCAGCCCTTTTCCAGGCTTCACCTGCAGTGACGTCGGTTTTCAGCAAGGCAGATTAACTTTATATTTAAACCTGTTTATTACTAAAATGCAGTAATGCTCACGGTGGCATTTCTGTCTCAAACAGAGCCTTTCCAATATATTTTAAGAATATATATATTTTTGGCTAGTGCATTCTGGACCGCTATTTATTTATTTTATTTATTTGATTTGTCAATTGTTTACAAGATAATTCAAAATCTTCCTTTCGGCTTGACTTCTCCGGGATTCAAAGTGTGCCAGAATTTCATAAAATCCCAGAGTCTGATAAAAAAAAACACAATTGCTGGAGAAGAATCTGTTAAGAGGGAACTTAAAATTCATTTTAGCCCAAAATTACATTTTAACAAGTTTTACTTTCTTCTCATTTGGCACCATGGGACAAGATATACTTTCTTTTCTGTACTCAAGCAGGACATCACTTGAAAAAAAAATAGTTTGTGACAACTGCCTGAACTATTCCCTTCTTCTTCCTGAAAGAGAAGTACTGGCCCAACTTCCCCTAGCTAGCTAAGGAGGATCTGGGACTCACTGTCTCCTGGTCCAGCCAGGTACCTTCACCCCCACACCAAAGTGCCATTAGAATAGAGTAGAGTAGAGTAGAGTAGAGTAGCGTAGAGTAGAGTAGAGTAGAGTAGAGTAGAGTAGAGTAGCGTAGAGTAGAGTAGAGTAGAGTAGAGTAGAGTAGAGTAGAGTAGAGTAGGGTAGGGTAGGGTAGGGTAGGGTAGGGTAGGGTAGGGCCAGGCAGGGCAGGGCAGAATACAGAGTTGGTAGGGACCTTGGAGGTCTTCTACTCCAACCCCCTGCTTAGGCAGGAAACCCTATTGTCAACTCATAAAATATTTCTATGGTCTTTTCAGAGTTGCCAACAGAAAGGGAGGGGGGAGCAGTGGGCCGCATGGAAATCAAAAGTGCATTCCATAAATGTTTTCAAAGATAGTAACTAGGTGACCGAAGTTTCTGCCGTGCAAAATTCTAACTGGAGAGCCTGATTGATGACTCTGGGCTATGGAGGTGTCTCATTGGAGAATATGAATTAGGATACATCCAGGGGGGTGGGAGGAAACCAGGGTCAAGGGTGACAAGGAATGATGTGCCTCAGAGTTGGCTACACCCAGGCAGCACCGGCATGTTAACTCCCAATAAATCATTTTGAAGTTTTGGAAGTTTGGCTCCAGCCTCAGGATTTAAATGGGGTTAAGTGCCGGAATCCTGACACCTATACTATTTCAGACAAATGGTTGTACAATCTCTTCTTAAAAACTTCTAGTGGTGAAGCCCCTCCTGTCCCCATCTTTGCACTCTTTCCAGAGTCTCAACATCTTTTTTTACATTGTGGCGACTTTCTTCGTAGGTTACAGAATACTGGAAACCAGCTATGTTCACTTTGGCCCCTGTTTATCAGTACATACTTAAAGTAGAGTTAACGTGATGCCATTCAACTTCTTTCTAACTGGCTCTTGATTCAAGGGGGAGCTTGCTGCCCATTTATAATATTTTGTATTATTTCTGCAAAAGTCTGTTTCTGTTCCCAGGCTCAGAGAATTGCACAATGTTAAAAGAACAATTTAGTTCATGAAAATACAATCCCTTATATTGAGGGTTGCCTTTATTTAGTTTATACCCAACCTATCATCAAACCATCAAATACATCTACAGTTTGAGCTACTGTTTGATAAAATTTGCGATGTAGGGTGTTTTTGAATGAGCATGCTATTACGTGGCCTATCTTTTCTTGAAGGCTGTAGTAAGAATGATGCTAATAGTTGCAATATGACCCACTTCTTTCTGATTGTTGAGTACATCAAGGATCTTGTGATATCATTAGCTGAGAATGCATAAGTCAGATTCTTCGTGAAGACACCACCACTCTACCCTGTAGTGTAAGCCTCAGCAACTCAGTGGTATAACTTTATAATAATAAACAATAGAAGAAGGTAATAAAAGTCAGCTTTCTCTAATCTTGGGGTGTTATAGCTGCAAATCTAGACATCCCAGCCAGGATGGGCTGACAGCTGGGAATTCTGGAACCTGTGATCCTAAAGTATTTGAAAGGCAACAAGTTGATCCAATTTGAATTGGTCACCAAGTTGATCCAATTTGAATTGGTCTTATTCTTCCATGCTTTTGAGCTCGTTCTGGAGCTCATCCTCGGAGAATTATTCTCTCTCCAAAACGAGCCCAAATGCTTGGAAAGAATAAAGCTTCAATCCTGGTGACCAGCTCAAATTGGATCCTGCAACATTATCCTGGGACACGTATGTTGGCCTTCATTCCCCACAAGTTGAAGGCATCTGGCAACAGTTATTGAACTGATGTGAATGGATTTACTTAAGTATTAGAAAGTCGTGGCTGAACTTGTAGGACAGTAGCGTAGAGGGCATGGCACCTCCGAGGTTGAGTTAAATTTTTCAGACCCAGTTTAGACACAATATATTTCCTAACTTCTACAGCAAACTAAGTAGAAAATATGATTCTCCCACCATCAGCCTAAAATAACAAGACTCAGGAAAAGTTTGGACTTTTGATTTTGCTGCACTGGTCAGCTGTCTCTAAATTATCCGTAAGTGCTTCAGCCAGAGAAACTGAGACTCTGCAGAGCTTAAATAATAGATGTTCTTAAAATACAATGTTAGTTTGAAGTGTTACCTTCATTTCATTGTCTCGTTAGTGATTGTCAGGGTGGATCTTGAAGGCTCGTTTTAGTATCTCTTCATTATGAGTTACCCTGGGCAAAATATTTCAGCTCTGGGGCCAGGAGCTATTACATGCAAAAAGAAATGCCAGGTTTTCTCAAATTACTGTGTTTTCTAAAACCAATGGTGGGAAGCTATGCACCACATTTTATTCAAATTACAATAGCCCCCCCTTTTAAATGCTTTTATCGTATTTAGGATTATTCACTAATTAAAATAACCATGTTTCATGTTGGTTGCTAAATATCCATATTTGAAATTCTGCCTGACAGTAATTCCAGAACCTTCCCCAGGTGTGTCCAGCACTGTCAGTGTGATTCCTCCAACTGGGCCAATTGGTTTTGAAGGACTGGATGCTAAATTCATCTAGACATTTAAAACAAACAAAACCAAAGCCAGGTTGATCATCCCCTACCACAGGTGCAAATGCTCTCACCAGATTTGTACTGAATACAAAAGAGAGAGATACAGGAGAGGGAGGCATTTTGAGTGTGCCGTTTGACACGTTGGGCTTCAATTGTCAACTTGATTTGTAGAGTCAGCCTGATGCAATGTCATTGATTTGAGGATTCACTTGGGCTTGATAAAAAGCATCTGTGCATACGTAAGCCCAATTTATTCGTCTGACACATCAGATAGACTTGAAATTTGGTTCAAAGGCATAATGCAACTGGATCTCTTTCCAATACCGTTGTAGTCCGTGTTGTCCATCTCTAGTGTATATCTGCCATCTGCGTCTTTACTTTAATATACAATTCTAGTCATCACCCAATGTAATCATAAGGTATCACACCTTTTCCCCTTTTATCCAGGCAGGTTTCTTTCTTTCTTTCTTTCTTTCTTTCTTTCTTTCTTTCTTTCTTT